GTTTATTTCTTAGGCACGATTTTTGATATAACAAAAAATTGCAAAATGTTTTAAAAGATTAAATGATTCATAATGAAATTTTTCTTAAAATATAATAAATAATCTAGTGTAAAGCCTATCTCGATATCTTATCCTATCGCCTAAAATATCAAGGAAAAAAATTTGGTTAATATAATATTTTGAAAAGGCGCTATTGGTCGCGGTATGTATGATTATTTATTTGTTTTTTTTTAAGGCTTAATCTTTAAAATTATTAACTCATAAAAGTGTTTTTGATTCAAAAAAAATTAAAGGGGACATAACACTCATTGCATATGTAATATTGTAATGTTGCCTCGCATTTGCAGCATTTTTATAGATTTTATATCTTACTTGTGTGGGCCACAAATTGAATTGATCATAGAGCATTTTTATTTCCCCTATGTCTTCATATTCTTCGTGTCCTTGTACTTGCATATTAATTATTACACTCTTACTTTTTAAAAAATTATTTGAACCGAGAATGCTTTTATGGTTAAATTATTTAAATAGTTGATTGATGATTGATGATACGTACTTAATTTATCGGGAATTTAAGGCTAATTTTAGTGCGCCGTAAATCATCATTTCTGAAATGGATTTACAAGTAAATTTAATGAATTTTGGAATAAAAACGAACGTAACCCACAAAAGCACCAAGTTTGGTACCTTGAGAAATATATTTCTTATTTCTAGCAAAAATAAAAATTCTTTGTATTCCCCTACTGCCGGTTATTTTTCCGAGTGTTTTATAAGGCATTTTCACACCTAAATGCACTTCCAGTATATACGTATAAGTTTTTTCAATTATGGCAACACGAAACAACGTCCATTCACGTCGAAGTTGGAAAGTCGAAAATTTACAGCCGCAAAGAAAAGTTTTACCGAGGCAATGTATGTTTTTCCTCTTTTCTCCGTTGCCGATGAATTATTAAAACTACCTCACGTTTTTAATAGCGTTAAAATTGGCGGGTTATTCCGCTTCATTAAAACGCGGCAGCAATATTTGCATTTCTCATTCAATTAGGTATACAGTGCGGTTCACGGTGGAGGGCAGGTTAAGCAGAACGAGCCGTCGAATAAAATATTTTGGGCCGTTTCTTCGAAAAAGTATTTTTGGTATAAACAAAACGGCAGTTGAAGTATACCCGAATATTTGCCTAATTTTGATCAGTGGTGCCACCCTTGGTTTATGCATGACTGCAGAGACATAGGCGTTTGTGTAAAGTTTTTCTCCTATTCCTTTCTGTAAAATACCTAATTATACATCGATCTAGCGTGCGAGAAGCGCCACTTTACCATGTCAGTTTCGTTTCCCGCGGATCCGAGGAACTTCGGACATTTTCCTGGATTTTACCGCACGAGTTTGGGAGCAATTGGTTGTTTTCGGGGATTTTACCGCACTAATACACAGAAAAATATTTGCAATATATCAGACAATTTAAATACTACATGCTACAAGCTACAATAAAAATCTAGTGGACTGGTTGGTAAGTAAAATGACATTTATAATTTAAGTTTCCCACAGAAATTTTACATACCGTTCGCATGAACTTAGTTTTTTTTGCAGTTTTTTAATATCTTGCCAAGACCAATTGTACCATTTTCAAATATCCATGTCTACCAACAAAACAAAATTGAAGGTTAGGACTTGCATTTTCTTCTTATACGATCTTAAAAATTTAATCCTCTTAATCTATCCTCTATTTACAAAAAATTACTTAATGATCAATTGTGAAAGTTAAATAAACAAGATAACGTTTTAAAATTGTGTTTTTCTACTCCCGTCTGTAAAATGCCTAATTACACATCGATCTAGCGTACGAGAAGCGTCACTTTACCACTTCAGTTTCGTTTCCCACGGATCTGAGCCACTTCGGACATTTCCGGGATTTTACCGCACAGGTTTTCGGGGATATTTCCCATACTCCCATACCTTGAATTGTGACGTTTCGCAATTATGTCAGTGAATGTATTGTGAATGTATTCGTGTCGTTCTGCGAAAATGTACCCAAAAACTAACGGCCGTATGCAACACGTTCGGTAAGCTTTTTAACTCACTCGTTTATTAAACACTCGCTCCGCTGCGCTCTGCTCGCATCAAATAAACTCGTGAGTCAAATGCCGTTTACCGCACTTGTTGCATAATATACTATTATTCCGTGGTTTCTATGACATATCCAGAATACATTTCTCTCTGTCTACGATACACAGTTAAAAAGAGACAACAATAGCAGAACTGATCGGATAAACGAGTAGGTTTAATGGCAACTGGTGAATATGTTGTTTGGATGGTACGGAAGTTAGTAATCTGATAATCTGTTATTATTTTTAATTTGTTAAATTGTGATTTTTTCGTGACGGTCGTCGAAAAAGTATAGTATGCACAAACGTTTGGCAAACTTTTTAAGTAATTCGTTTATTAAACACGTGCTCCGCTCGTGTCAAATAGACTCGTGACTCAAATGCCCTTTACTGCCCTGGTTGCATAATATTCTGCTATCAACTATGAGCTTATTACGTAATCCATGCGTAATGAACAATAACAGCTACCGTCTAGATCATCAAGGAATAACTTGCAAAGAGAGTTTTCAAAGCCAACCATCAAATTTGAAGAAAAAAGTTTTGTCTGGAGTTACGAGAACTTGATATAGTTATGATTTTATTCCATAGAGTTTAAGTTTGAGTTTGACCGTCAGGGATATTCAGTAAAAAAGAAAACAGTTTCTTTATTTTTTTGTTTTTCATTTATTGTTTTCACGTAAAAGGCTCCGGCGTTCCCTTAGCCTGAATAAGTGCCGCATGTCATAAACTTATTTTATTTTATTATTAACTGCCCCATTTCATAAACTCCTTTGTGCACTCCGCTTTCTGGCTGGGCTTCAAGTCGAGTTATGACTGAGTTAGACAACGCGGAACCTGGTCCCAACAGAACTGATTAATACATGGCGCATCTATGTTTTGCATAAAAATAAGCAAATGTTAGTTCTTCTCAAAAAATAAGGTTGAATTATTATACAACGGCAGTCACAAGTCAATAGCACTGTTGAAAATCACATTGCATTTAAAGTGGTATACTAACGAAGCGGCAAATCCGCCACGCTGAAAAAGCTTCAGCCGATGCAACTTCATTCACCGTCAGTACGCAATTTTTAAATTTAAAAAATATTTTTTAAATTTAAATGGTGTTGCTGAGAAAAAATTGTCACCACCCGAGCAGAACATGTAAGAAATAGAAAATGCCATGATAGGGGGAGTCAAAAAATTTATATTCGCTCGGCATTATTAATCATAAGGTAGACACAGATATATATCGTACGCGAAATAAACAAAACGCCTACAAAGGGGAACCTTATGAGAAAATCTTATTTTGGCATTTCTTTTCGTATTCTTTCTATACGCGCAGGTTTGTTCGACCTGAATAGAGGGAACAAAGGTGGAAAATGATTTATTAGTTATGATCCCCGTGATCGGTTCAGGGGTGACATTTGATAAGTAAAGTCACGATCATCCAACTGCTTATTTTTAATTCATGGCAAATGGTCAGCAAAATCAATTTTTTAGACCTCCTTAACTTATATAAATATGACACTGTATTGCAGCTTTTCTTTGGAATTACAGTTTATGGTCCGTGTTAATACTTAAAAGACGAAATACTAGAAATTTGCATCAGATTGTTTCATTCGTATTCGCGAAGGTTTTCAGTTGCGAAATTCGGGACCAATAGAATGTTTTTAAATTCGGTCTGAAAATTTTCAATAAATCTTGACAACGAAACTCTTTTCACTCGTAAAACAATAATGGTTCAAGCCCCTGGGCTGTTTCGATTTGTTTCTATTTTTTTCTGCAATTTTGTCTTTTTTAATAAAAGTTGAAAGTTCTAAACTTAAGTAAATTGTAAGTAGTTATCTTAATTAAACTACGACTTTTTGCAATTTAAAATTTTGACTAGATATTTTGTAAATATATCTGTATTATTTGTCTGATATTGTGACATTTCATTCATTTGTTTTATACATATTCCTTTGATAATTAAAGTTTTTTGAGGTCGCCCAAAGATATGGAAAAACGTAATTTAAATCGATAATTATTTCTGGGAGGTTAAGCGACGAAAATTTTTTGTTGTATTTTTTCAAGAAACTTCAACAACTTTTGTAATTACTGTACCAAATTGTCTGTTTTTTTGGAAAGTTTATTTTATTTATTAAAAATCACTTTATTTATGTTGCTCGCAAAAAATATTTCCGAATGTCCCATCAACATTTATAAAAGTGGAAAAATAGGGTTTATTCTAGTCAATATAAAAATAATTGTAAAATTTATACAAATCTTTTAAATTATGAGTCTTTAAATTCAGCATAAGTAGATTAATAACTCTAGACGAAAAATTTTATTTTGTTGTAAGTGTTCGTAGAAGTACAATTATTGCCGTCCTTTTTTGTTACTTTCTTTTAGCGTATTTTGACATAGCTCGTTTCATAATTTGATAAGGATATTCGAAAAGTGTTTTACTTCCAAGCAGACTTCAAACTGACGCACTACGTATTTTAAATGCACATTTGACAATACTTATATTTCTACAACACAGGCCATCAGTTCGGTGTAACTGAGTTTCTATTTACAACCATCATTTTTTTCTTATAGCAAATTGGGCAGCCAAACAAAACTGATTATGACTATCCTAAATAGATGGATTTCATATCAAACTTGAAATGAAATGGCATTATAAAATCGATAACGAAGTCTAGCGTCTGATTTCTAATGCGCACTAACGACATCATTCTAGCAATTTCATATATCTATATATCGTATTGTGCAAGAAGTGGAGTAACAAAAATATTAAGAAATAAAAAGCTCGTAAACGTATTACAAACAGTTAACAAAACTAGTATAGAATTTAGCTCGAAATTTTCGTAAGCGCGTTTTACTGTCTTGATGGCTCGAAGTTAATAAAGTTTCTCATTACGTCATAGTAAAACAGGAACAAAAAAAATAAAATCTGTATTTCGATGAGTTGTAGATAAAAAAATAACAACAATCTAGGACTAGAATATGCGTTGGCGAAGTACTGAAAAGTGGTAGGCTTTTTTTCTACCATCCGTTCCACCCGCCATGTCCACCGTGGTCGTGGAAAGTGACATGATGACTGGGTCCATGGACGCCTACGTGCGCGTCAGTATGATGAGCCACTGGCACTGGTACCTTAACAGCAACTTTGACCGGAACACTGACGGGGAATGGTTTGGTGACCACAACGGGATAAGGCCTCGGCACTTTAACGTGAATGGGTTGAGGGACTTTTACGTATACCGGAGTTTTTACGGGTACCGGTACTGGCCGTGGTACGTGCACAGGGTATGGTCTATTGACTTCAACCCTTACGGGAGTCGGTACTTCCACCCTAACTGCGCGGGGTACTTCTACGGGTCTCGGTACAGGCACGGGAACGTGAACGGGACGGTCGACCGGGACCGGTATCGGTTGGGGTACCGGAACTGGAACTCTTTCAAATCTGTGATCGTAAGTGGTTCCCGCGTCAGTGATAGGGCCATGATTATCGTTGCCCAAGTAAACTCCTAAGCCTCCCGCGCCGCCATCGATTGCTCCACCTCCGATACCGCCTCCGCCAATGGCTCCACCTCCGAAGCCTGCTCCACCTACGAAGCCTGCTCCACCAATTGCTCTACCTCCGATGCCTGCTCCTCCAAATCCACCTGAACTAAATCCACCTGCAGCAAAAGCAGCGCCCGATGAACTGTATGCTCCCAAGCCTAGACCACCGGCGTGTCCACCTCCAAACCCATGACCACCATCAATTATTGCGCCTCCCGCGTGTCCACCTTCGACAATGGAACCAGCGTCCCCGAATCCGTGACCGCCACCTATAATTGCGCCTCCGCTGTATCCACCGCCTCCGATAGCTGCACCAGTTTCGTATCCGTGTCCGCCACCTACGGTAAAACTCTCGGCGTGACCTGCAGATTCATAATGTCCTCCACCTCCAAAACTCGTACTGAACGGTAAAGATGCGGCAGGTGGAGTGAGGTCGGCGTGATGACCGGATTGGAATCCGCAATTTGCAACAGTTGCGAACACTGCCAGGACAATGAGGCCCTGAAATTAACGAAACGTATTTTAAGTAACCTGCAATAAATTAGCAGTAATTGCACTTACGCTCAGCATCTTGAAGCTGTGGCACGTTAAATGTGAGGCGACGAAATGGTGCAGAAAAAAAAGGACCGTTAATTTTTATACGTTGCCGCTCCTAATCTGAAGAAAAATTTCACTTTCTCGAGATGGACGATATATTATTGAATTTAACAATCTTTATCTTGTTTGTTGTCCATTAATTAGCATAATTTCAGTATTAGTCGTCGCATCTAAATATGAATGAATTTTCACTTCGAGTTGAGAAATAGCAGCTGTATTAATTTGGATTGCTTCTAATAAGCTTTTTTCCTTTAAATAACGTATTGTGCAGCCGAAAATGTTTTAGTGCCTACACATACACTATTTTTTAGAAAACAATGTGCGATAAAGTTCAACGCTACCGAACGGGAAATAGGGTTGACGTTAATTAAATGTTAAATGTAGGCAGGGTTGTCAGTTTCGAAAACTTTCACAATAAGATAAGTGAATATTCAGAACTGATAATTAAATTATGGCTTTAAGAAAATGAAGATTTAGAGTCCATTGTTTTTTTAATTAAAAGCAGCATTGCCCTGTGTGTGGTTTTCCATTAACAATATCTAGCAAAATAACATTTTCTATACGGTTTGTGGTTGACTCGAGGCCTAAAACTGTATGAATTACCATTACCAATGGGATAAACACCTTTTTTTTGATGTATAACTTTGACAATAAAAAGCAATAAAGTATAGAAAAATTGAAAATGTTGGGTTCAAAAAACATCACAAATATTACGTATTACGTTTCGCATACCGAGTATCAAATAGTGTATCACTCTAGCAACTGCATCAAATTGTTAGAGTCGAGAGTGTTTGCGGCATTTAAAATAGTAAATCATTATGGTGGTAGTCACTGTCAGTTAACTTTCCAAATATACGGCTTACCATGACGGACGTGAATTTTGAGCTTGGCTCAACGCGTTATTTATAGGCTCTTATGTTTGCGACATGCAATTAACTTAACCTTAGAGAAGTGGTTTTGGATTTTTTCGTTTGAGTGTTTTATATCAATACCATTTCAATGTGGACATGGTTTGTGGTTAACAAATATTTATCCGACCTGTATTGGTGGAATAATCATCATGAATTGTCATTATTTTGTGTTGCTGAAATATTTCTTTGCAAGACTGTCTCGGGGAAAGTTTAAAAATAAGCCTAAGTATTCTTTTCGGCTGTACAAACACCCCTTCTGCATCACTAGCTTGCTGCCAGTTCACAATGTTGTAAGAAATTGAGGAGTATACCGAAGCATAATAAAAGACTAATAGTGAACTCTCAAGAAATGAGTCTCTAATTGTTAATATGGCACAGAATGTTTTATTTAGTTTGCTAAAAACACTATTTATGTCTTGATCCCACCTCAATGATGTATCAAAGTGGAAGAAAAGAAATCTTCTCCGAGGCGTTGGAAAGAAGGGATCTCTGCAGAATGGCCCCAAACAGAGAAGCAGAAAATATTGTCAGCCATCTGAAGAAAACGGTACCACTAATAAAGTTCGAATGTGTACCTCACAATTGTACAGAAAGGCTCCTTGGTGCAAATTTCCTAGGCGTAAAAATTTTACCACAATGGGAACAACAGAATCGACCAAGTAACAGAAACCGATCTCTCATTAATACACCTAAATGTACAATCGTACAATGTACATTATTAGGTTAGACAAAATTCAAATTAGGCTTTAATTTGGCATTTCATTGTCAGACCGCTAGGTAACAAGTTAATAATAGTAATAGGTAACAGTTAATAATCATTTAATTATTCTTGTCCGTATATTTCTTCTTCTTGATTAAACTTGGAGAGTGCCAAAAAAGTTTGGCATATGATTTTTAGCTACGCCACTGACAAGGCACGTAACGTTTACTGGCGGGGACTTGAGTGGGAAATGGACATTCACTCAACTTTAAAAAGGTGGCTGTGTCCACCGTTATCTGACGCCTACATAACACGCTGCAGCGATAGCGCAAAACGTCGGGCAGCAGCTTAAAAGAAGTTGCACGATTGATATTCGAATCACATACAGTCAAAAATAATCGCGCTACATTTTTCTGCAGCAGTATTAAAATGCGGCTTTATCTGGCAACGTCACCATCCTGTCAATCACATTACGTTGGACATAACCGATCTGATTACGAGAATGCTGAATTGCTAATTGGTGGATCATTAGAAAAAGAAACTCTTTGGAATCTTTCAGTACAATTTTGCTTTGGAATGGTATGTACACACCGTCAAGTAGGAAAAATGTATAGCAAGTTCGAGTTGTACAGGGCGTTTAGTTTTCGTGTTTTTTTGGGATATCTCACTTACTCGAGGAGGCAGAAGAATGCTAATTACAGTCGACATTTCTACTATCTCTTGCTTTCAATTTTAGTTACCGTTCTGAAAATTCAACTCTTTTTTTTAAGCAATGTATTGTTTTATTCGCATTTTCGCCATGTTTTAAGATATCACGCTTATAATATGTAAGCAGGTATCTAATATTTTCTATATTTAGTTACTTTTTTATAGTTGGGAATGGGCTACAGGTAAAATATAAGTATATATTAATAGGTCCGAAGTAAATAGCCTTTGAACATTAAAAAAAATCACAATATTTTAAAAAAGATTTGAAACTCTGAGTAGTAATATAATATTATATTATATTTTTACATGTATCTTTAGATAACCCAGGAAAATTTTACAAATATTATTTTATACTTATATTTATTTCACTTCCGCAATATCTTGAGTCTAATTTTGTAATTTGTTACTCTCGAGTCTAATTGTAGCTTTGTTCAATTTTTTTAACGAACTGTAAGTTTCTTAATAATAATCGGGGCATAGAAATAATTATTTTTTTTAGCATTTAAATAGGAAAATGAAAAATCATAAGTTATTTCTTTAGCGCAAATCTTGGTTTTCGGGTTTTCCCCACAAATTAGAATGCTTAGGAGCTGCTGGCGTAATCGAGAGAACCTAAACATTTAAATTTTAAATGAAAAGAAAGCAAAAGTTGAAAATTTACATAATTCACTGATTCGGATCTTTTAATTATATAATCAAGCTTCGGATGTAACTGGTTTAATAGGATATTAATTTGCTAATACATATTTTCTATAAATATAAAACCGCTATAAATTCTTCAGGCAAAAGACCATTATTTTTAATGTAACGACTAGAATATTCAAATGTTTTGAATGTCCGGGTTGGAATTCGTAAATTTGTCGCCACAAATTCGTAAAGGAAATTAGGTGCCTCTGAGTAACATCACACTTTAGTAGAGAAACGCGTGCTGCCATTTGAAACCCTATTATTAAGTTGGTAGAATGAAAACAAACCGAGTTAATAAATTAGATGTGTGCCTAATAAATCACATGGTAAGGATTTGTGTTACTGCGACGGAACAAGTTCGCGTGAAAGAGAGTTTTTTTGCCAATGAAAAGCTATCGAGATAACTAAAAGGAGAACTCGCAAAATAACAAAAACCTGCCATTAAAGTCTTTTCCACTCGGATAATTCTCATTTCCTCCGGTTCACTCGCGGAAAAGTATTTTAGAGAGACACTAATCTTTTATTTGTTCGTAAGAGTATCAAGGCTTGGAAGACCATTTGTGCGACTCTAGTGTGTGTGGATTAGAATTAGGTAGTGTGCATTGGCGTTACGGTGCGGTTCCACAAAGTCACGCTAGGCTTGTACGAAAGCTTTAAAAAGTCAAAAATAATGATATAAGCTTTAGTTTAATTAGTTAAATTTTTGAAGAATAACTCAAACTAAAACCTATATAACCGTAAACCGACGTGATACAGGTTGTGGGGGCTCTAAGAACACCAGGAAGTTCAAAACGGTGTGCTTCAGGATTGTTTCAGATTAATTAGATTTATATCGCTTCTCCCTCATTTTTTTTTATCCATTTGGTTTCTCAGGGTTTTCTAAAAGCTATTAGATGTCACTCAGCATTTATGTAATTTGCTTACACTTGGATAACTTATTCCTTATTCATGTTGATATTTGTTTATAAAAATGCTCTTTAAGTAATCCTTTGACATATGGTTTGAGCAATTATATTAAACTGACTTAAAATTGGACCCTTGATTTTATCACTTTCAAGCCCCATACTCTTTTTGATTTGTTCCTTTTTACTTCTCTTAAATGAATGACTACATGAGGCGATCATTTAAATCAAACATTTTCTTCAAAATAACAACTTCTAAAGTTAAAATCTTTTTGTGGTTCATTGTGCTGCGTTTTTTTTATAAGATTATAAAATTGAAATTTCCAATTCCAAGGAAGAAACTCGGTTGTATAACTTATATTAAATGTAAAACAGCTATTTCAGAAGGACATTGACAATCAAACCGTTTTATGCGTTTCACGTTTACACAATTATAAGCATTTAAAAATCACATTAAAATTAATGTCTCTAATGCTGTCTGCTAACACTGATTTCGACTTCCTTATGAAATTAAAGAAATAGAATAATATTTTAAAATTTTCCGTTAAGAAGGTGGTTCCCGTCGAAATCTTAAAAAAAATGTGTCGAAAAGTCGCAAACCAGTGATATTTATTTATTTATTTATAAATATACATCTCTTTGTTCACCACTGTGAATTCGAAATACCACCTTGTGAACTCGGTACGTACGAATCTAAAAGACCGCCAGATCCTGTAGAGTATCCGTTTCCGTAGGCGGATCCATATCCACCGTACGACTTGGCATAACCCGAGCCGAAGCCACTTCCATATCCGGAAGAATAAACGTTGTCTGTATTTCTATAACCAGAATATCCGTTGCCGTAAGAAGATCCGAAGCCACTTCCATATGCAGAAGAATATACGTTATCCCCATTTCCATAACTAGAATATCCGTTTCCGTAAGAAGATCCGTAACCGCTTCCTGATAATTTATAATTTCCTCCCAAGGAAAGGCCCGAATAACCAGAACCAGAGGAAACGCCTAAGTCGTCGTTGCTTCCAATGTGGATTATCTTCTTTTGTACTATTACGGGATGGTGTACGGCTACAGGCTTTGCTACTTCGACAGGGTACGGTTGAGGTACTCGAACTTCTACGGGATGTGGTACCTTGAAACGAGAGTAAACATATTTATTGTGAAGGTTAAACGAAGCATCTTAGACGTTTTAACCTTTTAACCTAAAATATCAGAACGAATACCAGTTTACTAATATTCCTGCTCAAGCGTAAGAAACGATCTCTTAAAGGTAAGTAAAATGAAGGAAATTAACCGCAGATATTAAATAAATGCAGAACTGGAAGCAGAAAGAACCAAAAAATATAGTTCTATTTTCTTAAAACTATTTTTGATGGTAATTAAACTGTGAACTGAACTTTGAAATGCGATAGGCAGAGGCCTCTTTATCCATGAGTAATTTTTTTAATTTTAGAAATAAGTTAGTCTGGAGTAAAACATTCCCACTCTAATTTCTGCAGGAAGCAGTTAGCAATTATTATTTTCTTTTGCAAAGATCAGCGAGGTGGGCTTCTATCACTACTCTTGCCTTTCATATTTTATCCCTTTATCCGGAGTATCCGGAAACTAACTCATATTTGTGTAAGGTGATCATTATGAGATTTGAAGATTTTGTTGTAGATAAGGTGTTTAATACTAAAAAAAACGCACACATACGTTTATAATTGTCATAAAAATGTACAATTCACAAGGGAAGTTGGTAAGATGCGTGTTTCTCGGACTGTTTAAAAATATCTTCATAAAACTACATCCCTACTACAAGCTTACCTTAACGTAGACGGGTTTTTCCACGGGTACTGGTACAGTTTTCTCAATTGTGACGGGGTAAGGTTTTGGGACTTCTACGGGAACTTTAACTTCGTACGGCACAGGCACTGGCTTAGGAACTTCCACAGGGTACGGTTTGGGCACTTCTACCGGCACTTTAACGTGGACAGGAACAGCGTACGGTTTGGGAACTTCTACTCGATAAGGTACACGCACTTGTTTTTCGACAGTAACTGGGTAGGGCTGGGGTACCGGTACGGCCACTGGCTGAGCGACCGTCTTAACTTCGTGGGTGTGCGTGTGCGTATGGGAGTTTCCTGAATATACTAGTCCTGAACCATAGCCAGCGCTATTATATCCTGATGATCCATAACTGCCGGAGTTGTAGTCGGACCCATATCCAGATCCATATCCGGATCCATATCCAGCTCCATGGCCAGATCCATAACCGGATCCATACCCAGATCCATACCCAGATCCATATCCAGATCCATACCCAGATCCGTATGTAGAACTATATCCGGATCCATATCCAGACCCATAACCGGATCCGTATCCATAGTTATCTGTAAATTTGGCAACGGGCGCATTTTTGATTTGAAGCATAAAATAAATTGATGTTAACATGTTTATGGAGAAAATTATAGGAGCTTAGAATTTTTAGGTAAACTGCAATTTTTTTAATCTCTATTCAAATCCACGTCGCCCAATGGCATCCTAATTGGAAATAATATGGCAGTTAAATTTTTAATGGATAAGGAGCGAAGATTTTAAGGCTTTTACTGGCGAATTCTGGCTTGAAAAATGCCAGACCCATTTCCGCGTATAATTCGAAACGGGAAAACTTCTCATGTAGTTTTTATTGGAAGGCGAGTCCAGTCAGTTAAAAAGTTGGATATTTTTACTTCTCGCACCTGCCTGTAGTCTTATGCATATCACGTGAAATGGACGTGTTATATTATTGAATTAATTACAGTAAGTACCTGGAACGCAAACGAATATAAATACATAAATTTTTAATCCGTGCGGCTAATTTAAAAACCCGTAGCCCATTTGTTGTGGTCAATTGCCGGTACTTTTTTTTTTCGCCATGTTTCGTCGTTATAGCCGACTAATAGCAAAACACAAAAACCATATAACATTTTTACAATGGAAAACCGTTTGGTTGCCAATACTTCGAAATCTATAACTTGTTGAACTATGCAAATGTTAATGTTAATGAAAAATTATGTGTTTTTGTTTGAAAAAAAAGGCTTCTTTAATTTCAATTTTTAATGTTGGTTTTTAATCAATTTCGATTTATTTATTTTTAAAATGTCAACACATACCACAATAAAGTAAATCCCCTGCTATAAGAACCTCAACCTCAAATATAACCAAAGTCAAGGCCAAGGATATATTTGTAATAATACAAAGTTGTTACTAGCCCAGGAAGCCACAAATATCCTGTATATATAATGATATAATATTTTAAAAGAATAAGCGAATTTAACATCACCTATCTGTTGATTTGCTCGCGGAATTGTGAAAAATATAAATAAATAGCTGCCAACGAAATAAAACACAATCAAAAAGTAGTGTTTAAAAATGGAAAATGCATCCAAGTTGACATGATAAATCCATTTTTGTGAATAATTTTGAGGCAAATTGTAGCGGGCGCTACTCACGGTACTTTTCGTGCATTTGATACTTCTTAACTTTTTTGCGCCTTATGTATGCAGATTTTTACTAAAGATATTATTTCTTACACTTTTTTTATACAAAAAAGTATACCTATTAAATTTCGTCCGGGTCCCTGTTTTCGAGAAATTTAGGTTTGAAATTTTCAGTGCATCATTACGTCATATTTCAATTTTAAAATAACCCAGATAATGAATATAACCAAGCTAATATGGTAGGACAGACCTTAACAGCGTGGTTAATACTATTTATTTTGAGGATATTACAACAAGAGACTCAACAAAACTTCAACGTCATTGAAAACAATACAAAGTAACTTTAAATTAAAATAAAATACAAAAAAAATTCTTAAAAAAAGTTTTTGATTCGGCCATAAATGTTCAAAATGATTTATCCTACTTTTTATGAGAATAAAAACCTGAAATTTAATTTTGAAACGAAAAGGTAAGTGGCTTGTATTAGTAAAGTTCTTAAATTGTCACAATTAAATTTCTGTCAGTAAAGTGAGTACGCTGAATCTAAGTGAAACTAACCAAAACTATCCAGAAAGACCGACACTGAGTAAAATTGAGCAAAAAATTATAAAAACATGGCATGTAAAAGATCGTCTACGGTGGGGTCGTCCAAAAACTAATGAGGATAATCCCCATCCTGCATCTTCTGAAGTAGCTTTAAATAAAGATGTTTGCCAACGAACTGCTTTGTGTGTATTAAGAGAAGAAAAGTTTCATCCGTACAAGATTACATTACTACAGGAGCTGAACCAAGATAATCCCGACTGCATCCTGTAGTTTTTTGAAACTATGATTGAGATATGCAACTTAGGCCAATTTTTTCATTGTCAGACCTGTTTAGTGATAAAGCCACGTTTTGTTTAAATGGTACGGTAAATAAACAAAATTGCGGGTATTGGATACAAATAATCCCCAATGGATGAGAGACAATCATATAAAACATCCGCAAAAAATGTTTGTGCAGGGATTTTGAATAACAAAATAATTGGACCTTATTTCTTATGACTTAATTCCTACTTGCGCAGATTTTAACAAGATGGTGTGCCACCCCATTTTGCTTGACAAGTGCGTGAATATGACAGTAAATTGGTATTAGAAGGGGGTCAATAGAATCGCATGTATGATTTCTAGATATTACTCTACAATCTTGTGGAAGAGTTTTCAAACGGATTAGTGTATTTTCAAGAAGTTAATGACCGGCATTTTCAATACCGAATAAAAAAAATTCTTTGATATGCCTTGTTTTTATAAATCTCCTCCCGGTTTTTATTATGATCAGTCTTTCTTTCCAAGTTTCCCTAAGTTTCATTTAGATGTTAGAAGAAACTATGATGGACGTGTGCGAGTGTTTTTCTTGAAATCAAATACCTAATTTTTAAATGAATTTGTTCCATATTTTACCCCTTCACTGTATATGGTATATTACTTAAGTGTGTTCAATCTCAATGATATTCCTTCTCTAAATTGTAATGATGATGGATATATAGCCACTATACACTGAGCTACAACATATTTTGTTGCTCCGATTATGTACTTCATCAACTAAGTGATTATGTTGTGTGATAGATTTATCAGTAGAATAGTTACTGATTTCTAAATCAGCATATTCATTTCCTTGTATGAAACGTACAATTTCAATTCAAGAAATTAAATTTAAAGCGCCGACATTGGAAAAATACATTTCGGTATATGATAACGCATGTCGCATTGTTAATAAAACACCTTGTATATTTTTAAAATCACTGGAAAGAAGGAGATTTTTTTATCTCGGTTGAATGAGACATTGATAAATGGCGTAACTGTTCTACACGCTATTTTTGTTGCAATGGACATTGAAAATAATTTGTCGAAAATCGTTTAATCCAGGATTTCCCTTGGTTAAGCTACGTGTTCATTAGTTATGAAAATACATAACATAAAAGGGGAAAATGTCTGGCCTAATTCCCACGTTACGGGATTATTTTAGCGTAAATAATATCTAGCCGGACGCATTCTTCTATCTTTTCCGATGAGGTGCAAAAATTCGATGATCAGCGGGAACAAAAATCCCCATACAGGTAACAAATGCCGATATAAAAATTGCCAGCTCTTGATACGATGCGAGTTTAGACTCGGCACAGTGTAATTCACGAGAAACTGTACAGGAAACTCCGAGGACTGACCAGGGGCTTGTTAATTAAATAGAATGTTATTTTTATTGATATTACTTATGTTTATTTACTTACCTTGCGGATTTATCAGACAAATTAGTTTTGCCTTTGACTGGAGACATATTTTTGATCGTATTAAGAATATACATTAGATGCACCTATTTTGTGGTTCATTTAAGTGCTTTTTGGATTGGGTTTTTGGATTTTTCCTTCAAAAACTTGAAGAAACTCCAACTAGGCCCCTTTAGAGACGTATAGGATGCAAAGAAACGAATACAGAATCATTTCAATTTTTGTGACAATTTCGTAGATTCGTAACCGATAATTATATATTTCAGACAGTTTCCAGCGTGGGACTTGGAAATTTTTATTTTGTTCCCCATGATGACAGGATAGGTACGCTATCCACTTCAGTATCTGCCATCCTTGAAACTATCAATTGCCGAATAAAGAGAAATTTCCCGAGTCCTATTTTTTGTACATGAATTACCCGTTAAAGTATAAACCACCAGATTAATATTCTTAATTATTTTCGAAAAGATAGGAAATTCGTTTGAATCGTTGATTTAGAATTTCGTTTTTTTTTTCGAAAGGTTTTATTTTAGTTGTTCCGGCAAATTATGTTTGTACCTGAATATAAACCACTTCCAGACGAGTATAAGTCATAATGTCCAACGCTACGTTTCAGTTTTGGATTGTTGTCGGCCTCAGTACCAACCACGATCAATAGCGTCACAGTAAACTGAAAAAAAGGACATAATAACGAGGACGTGACGTTATGAAAATCAACTAAAAATTTATGTTTAAATATTCGGTTTATAGGTAATACGAAATATTCGTCAGTGCGTATGTGTGGAACATATATTTTTAATCGTATAATGCGTATTGTCAAAATGAACCCATATACGAACATTTCAAACTTTACCGACTAAATTAAAACTGGAAATTAATTTTTAAATTGCGGTATGCAAATGTTCAGCTAAAATGTTGATTTTGAAATATTTATATATTCAATGATACCTATCGAGAACGATAATCAACTGATTTTGACATATATTCTAGCGAGTTATACGATATTTTTGGGAGTACCATTTGGGATAAATCTCCATAATGAAATGAACGGCGGGAAATTGTTGGAAATATTTTTAAGTTCTCTTTTCTGAAGTGGAATTGTGTAAAAGAACGTCCAAGACATCAGTATTGTAAAATCTAACATTTTATACGTACACCAATTTTAGTTCACACTTAAACACTTAACATAAAGCCGGCGAAATGGGTGAAATTAATTAAGGTGCACATAAATAATTTAGCAAACTGGGCTGTTCGATGATATTAATTAAAAAAACAATAAAATAGCTAGACATTCTTATTTAAAAAGGAAAATTTCCACAAAAAAAAGTTAAAATTGATTGAAGAAACTATTTTGACTGGTTGGTTATTGCAAAAAAAAACAGTTTTTTTAAATAATGTATTTTTAATAAATACCGGAGAAATTTCAAACCATTTCAAGACGACCCTTTTTGAGGTGGTTTTTTAAAAAACAGTTATATTGTGGGTAACTTACTTATAGGTTGCTGATAGGCTGTACACGTTTATATTTAACGTTGGTACATATGTTTTTTGGTGATTTGTTTATAACCAAGAATTTATTTTTCTTTAAATAGCGGCGGTAGAATTAATAATCCGTTTGTATTTCAGCCCTTTTTTATACTATGGGTACTGTAGGTATACTCTATACCGGAGTAAAAAAGTAATCCAATACACAATAAATTATCTATGTAACTATTATTTTCGACTTGGTAATTGTGTTACCCATTTTTTCAACTTCATGATGACGCCAGCCACTTACCCAAAGAAAATTCATTTTTGCAGCTCTAGACACGGTACCCTGTTACTTAAAAAAGGCAAAAAGTTTAACAGTTATTTGGATTTTATATAAATTTTATGAATATTTTGCGTGAAGGACAGGTGACTGGTCCTACTGGTTATTTTTGAAATTAGTTTACGGGTATTTCCATCTCTGTAGCTCATATATTAATGTAAGTCTTAGTATTTTATTCTGCTAATACTATTTTTTATTTGATAATATCACTTGGAACACAAAATCAGAAATATTAAGTGAATAATTTATTTTTACACAAAATAAACTTACATATTGGAACATCCTTTGCGCGCTAATGATCGCGTTTTTTAAAAACAATCGAATCTGCAATTTGTCAAATAAATATCACTTACATTAGATGAGAATGTTGAATATTTGAATATATTATTTAAATCATATGTTATATAGGAATACTTACTGAGATTTTACACTTCACTCTTCTCGGGTTGTTGATGCTCTGGTAGGTAACCTTTTCGTAAATGTTAGAATTGGATCCCTTGAATAATTCCTTAAAATAAGCAAAATAGTGCATCTATAAAGAAACTAAATTTTGTTTAATTATTAATTGTTTAATATAAATCTTTTTTAGTCACCCAATACTGAATAAATTTGGTCAATGAATCCAAGTATATAAAGATAATGTATAGGTCACTTTTGAAAATAATTGAAAAAAGATTTTCTTTCTATATTACTTAAAACTCAATAATACGAGATTGGTTGTGAGCAATAATAATCAAAATAAAAATTCTGCTTCGTTTAAATATTTATTTAAAATTCCAGTATAGTATAGATATTATAAATCCAATTATTTTAAAATGCTTTGTTTTTTGCAGGTACGTGAAGTGAATGTTTGAAACCACATTTCCGCACCCTGATCTTAATATGTCTTAATCAGAGTAAGTATCTTCTTACTAAAGGTCTCCTAACTGATAATTAAAACGAATTTTTGCAAGTTATTTGTGGCGCCATCTATCTCTGAGTGTTCAAAATGTCTGATCGGATCCACACTTATAAATTTGCAGAACACATTTATATAAAATGTCAGTGCTGAAACCTTCTTTCTCCCAATCTAGATTTTGTTTGGAAGGGTGACTTATGCCCAATAGATGGCAATGAAGTTGCTTTGGTACATTTTAGTTAGAAATTATGGATTTTTCGCAAAGGTTACTACGCGTCCTTGTCGCTTGTAGCGCTGTATCCACAGTACAAAACTGTGGTATAAATTAGGATCTTCGGTCTTTTCTGCTTACAGACGAGCATTCTGTGGTGTTGTTTATGTTTTTAAATAAGTGGTTTAATAACAAAATTCTGTTACGTTAATTCGGTTGTTAAATAGATATTTGACTTGTTGGATTGTACATTTTCTTGAATGTGAGTGAAAATTAGCTTTTTGTTACGAGCTTTAAAAGTTAATGGAATGCTTATGTTTTAGGTTAAAATGACTTTTATGAACTTGGCTAGCTATCTACAGATTGTGGATCGTGCGTGGAGATCCTGCGACGGCTTCAAATTAGCCGCCTTTCTGTCAGTACGGCACGACCATGCAAAATACAAAAATTATCATATTGAAAATCCACAAACCATAGTGGAAAAGTTTTTGTCACCTCCCATGGATGAACTTGTTATCTACCATTTGAAATGTCTTTACGCCATAAGTAAAGAAGATTACTTATCGGCGTACCAGCAACAGAGCTCTCTAACGCAATCCTTCACCAGAATTTTGCAGTCTCAAAAAGAAGAAAATTGGTCATTACCTCTTATGTCTGCCATTTGTTCTGATTTAAGACTGATTGCCCAACAAGCTGAAAAACAAAGATTTGGAGTTACAGAGAAACCTGGAGAATATTTGGAGAAAGCTGCTGAATGCCTTATGGGTTGTTTTAGAATTTGTGCGGCTGATAATCGTACAGATGAAAGAGACACTAAAAGAAAGGGTATGATGGCGCTTGTGAATCAATTATTTAAAGTGTATTTTAGAATTAATAAACTCCATTTGTGTAAACCGCTGATTAGAGCTATCGAGTCTAACCCTTTTAAGGAATCTTTTTCATTAAGTCAGCAAATTACTTACAAATACTTTGTAGGAAGAAAGGCAATGTTTGATAGTGATTATAAAACAGCTGACCAATATTTGACTTATGCATTTGAGAATTGCCATAAAGCGTCCCAAAAAAATAAAAGATTAGTTTTGATATATTTAGTACCAGTCAAAATGTTATTAGGGTACATTCCCAGCAAGAAGGTCCTTGAAAAATATAATGTTACCGAATTTTGGGATTTGGTTCAAGCTGTATGCCAGGGTAATTTGAAATGGTTTGATGAAATTATGGAAATCCATGAAACCTTTTTTATCCGTTGCGGCATTTATCTGATTGTTGACAAACTTAAAATAATAGCATATAGGAATCTTTTCAAAAAGGTTTATCTAATTTTGAACACTCATCAAATTCCAGTTGAAGCCTTAAAAACTGCCCTTGAATGGTTGGGCCAAGATGTAGATTTAGACGAAACACAGTGTATTGTAGCCAATTTGATAAATGAGGGTAAAATTAAAGGGTACATCTCTCACCAGCATAGAAAAGTTGTAGTTAGTAAACAGAACCCATTTCCCCCATTAACAACCACATAAATAATTGTATTCAAATAAATTATTGTTTTTCTATTTTTTAACTTGTTTTATTGACCATTCTATACATGTTTTCAATGAAAGTGTATTTTTTAAATTTCCAAAAACAATGAATTGTTGATATATTACAGAAAAAATAAGACTCCTCACAAAAAATTAAGAAAAAACATATTTCAGTTTTCGAAGTTCAAATTACAAAAAATTTAAATTGAATTGACGATTTTTTTTTGTTTTTGTTAGATTCAATTTTGTAAAGTTTTTTTATATTTATTGGAACAAACCAATTATATCCGAACAGCCATTGGCGCCCCGACGAGGAAGCAAATCCTTGCCTTAAATCTTTTACTTTGATTTTAATTAATTCAACGACATAGTGGAGGCACGTGCTTAGATTAAGTCAGCGAACTTTGCGTAATTTTGGAGTTCGCGAACAATTCACCGTTGGGAGTCGTCGTCGTCGGGAAACCAATTCCTTTAAACTTGCATTGAAGTGTTAAGCAAGCGTCTCTGTATCGAACATAATATATCAAGAAGTAATTTTCGACGTTTTGGGAACCGAAACTTTAAATGCGAAGATCCGCATAAAGCATTTACGAGCAAGTTTCTATTAGGTAACTTGGATAATATTCGTCTGTCCCAAAAGTTTCCATTCTCAAAGGCATTTATTCAACTAATATAGAGTTCAAAAGTTTTCTGTTAAAATTTAAATTTTTGATGGGGAGACAATCGCAGAAACTTTCCAGAGCCTTTTCAAAGTTATATTAACATTCATTCTAGTTTTATTTGTGTAGTTCCTTAATTTTTAGGACATTTAAAACGTTTTAACTGTTAATTTTAGTCATTAAAGCATCTTTCGTCTTGTTTCACTAATTTGGTGGAATTTTAAATATATTCTCTGCCTTTCAGAATTTGGGCACTACTTAGTTTTTAAACGAGTTTTAGTAATCGGATCTTTTGAGAGAATTACAGTGACGAGATACACATTCGTACACATCTACCGCAAATATTTCATTCCTTCATTACCAACAATAAATAACAAGTGGGGGTAACCACATCAGTTCGTCAAAATGTTAGAGTGAGGGAGGCAATAGCAATAAAGTTTTATGACATGAAACAAAGTTTTACGATTATAATATAAACTACATTTACCAACCAATTTTTAGACAATTTTACATTTAGGGCTAATTTAGAATACATTGAAATACAGTTTTTTTCTACTTCCTTCACTTACAAAATAATATTTAAATTTTATAATAAACCATTCCATTTTTCTGGCGGTATTGGGATTTTCTTGATGAGCTTCTTGACTTTTGAATGTTTACAACAAAAAGTGGTACTAAATGGTTTTCTTTATAAATGTATGTTTCGTAATTTCGACTATATTTCTATTTTATTCTTAAATTTTCACTAAAAATAGAAGCAAATTTTATCTGCTAGATTTTTTGCAATTTGGTGGCATACACTTTGCAATATTTTGATGAAAAAAAATTGAAATACATGTAGAAATTGGATTCTATATATCGCGCTTTATATAAAGTTTTAAAACATATGAATGTTTTTATTGAACATGTGAATTAAAATAGCTAGGTATATGACCTAAAAAATAGAAACAAAAATTTACTCTTGTCCTAAATAAAGATCATCGTGTCTGCAACCTATTTCTCCTTGTTCCCACTACTGAACGCTTTTAAATTTAACAATTATCTCAAATAGCTAGTCTGACGCATATTACGGAGAGGCATCAAAAACCAAGTTTATTTGGTGATTTGTCCCGTCCTGGCAAGTTACCGAAAGTTTGTGTTTATTTTAATAAAACAATCTATAGAAGTCAGACCGATTTCTGATGGAATGTATCAGTTTAGGATAAGTGATTAATTCTAGAGAAAACTATTAAATATTTATGCTCCAAGCAATAGAGATTCAAATGTCTGGATATATACAGGTCATGAAAAATGAGCGACTATCTAAAAGACTGGGGTATAGGGTAGGCAAAAAAGGAAAACACCTAGACTAAAGACCAGATGAATGGATAAGGTGCAGAACTATATAGTAATGGTTTCAGTTTAGCTCTGAAGAAGACCATCACATGAGGAATTTTGAAGGTTTCATAAGTATGCAGGTGCACAATTTTATACCAATTATATAGTACGTACTATAAGGATTTCGTTATACTATTTTAATACGATGTAATAATATACGACAAAACATAGAATTTGATTATAGATTAATTTAATAAATATGTATTTGTTTCCATTTCTGGTGCGTTTTCTAACTAAAGCACATTTTTTCCTGACATAAACAATTTTTTAAAGTTAACTTATTAAAATATAAAAAAGTTGGTTCAATTTAAGTTTGCGCGAGCATAGATAATAAAGCAACATTCAATTTCCGGCCAATACAATGCTGATCGATATTCAATTTTTCTAGTAGAGATCCAAAAGATTTATGTTTTTATGCACTCTTCGAAGACAGGAAGCATCGCTATTCTGTCCGTTGTCATTTGTTCCTGTAATATAAGTTTGAATTGAATTTTGACGATCAAATTTATTTCCTATTTCCTGTCGATATGTAGAATATGTAGGAAGTTCCGATATTTATTAAACCTGCCCATTCCCACAAATTTCTAAACCATCTTTTTCCCGCACAAAGTTTGCCCTCTATTTGTCTATTAACTGGTAAAATAAATCTGAATTCTTATTATACTATTGTTTTTTATTGGTCCCCTTTGTGTTCAACATTTGTTCCATTTGTAATTCTGTTCAACTCCCATTCCACGACCTATATCCGAATATACTTTTACAACTTTGTAACAAGCATCTGTAACAAAAATAAAGCTTTTGCTAACTTTCCCTGCCCTTGTTAACGTTAGTAGGACATATTTGTACTCGATATGAGCCCAAAGCTAAGAAGTATTCCAATTCCAACTTTTAAATTGTACCTGATTTTTCCAATCGACGCAAATTGTAGTCGCTATAAACTTGTCCGAAACGTGTTACAACCGGCAACTGTCCGCCCCAAATGTGCTACTACCCTTTGACAGTAAAAAATAAATAAAAGTTGAATCGACATTTTTTTTAGAACGCAACTTCCGACCCAACCCATATCTCAAACGGAGTCGTGCTTGGGGGAAACGTAAACAACATTGTTTTGTACAAAGGCTTCAGCGCTCCACCCGTTATAAAACTTTAGAACGGTCTTTGAAACGGATAACTCGGAAAGGAAGATTAATATCTTAGATGTCATTCCGAAATAGATTTATACATACTCCTTTAAGGAGCCGAAGGAACGTTAATAGGAAACTGTGAGACTTTTATAGATTTTTATGTGCTTTTTTGCGAGGCGGATTAAAAGGTGTTAACTCGCTTCTATAGAAAATTATACGATGTTTTTGAGGGATCGAGTTAGGTCTCTGTCATCGATATTCCCGGAGGTGAATAACAAGTTTATATCGGATAACAGCGCTGGTGTCATTTTATTCTCAATTTTAAACACAGTTTTTCAAAGAAAACTTTTAACATTTCAGGGGATTTACTAAGAGTTTGTCATTTGTTAAGCATAAAAAACATTACAACCACTTCCGCTGTATGCACAAGTGATATATATTTTATACTGCATCCTGAATCAGTATGATTTTGTTATATTTAAATATCGTTATGGTTTTAGTTGCAAATAAGTGAAATTACCATAACAAATATATTCAAGGTCTTTTTTAAAGTGAATTTTGGAAAATATGTCGTTGAAATGTGAAATCCAAGCAGTCATGCTGAATATTATTTATTATTTGGCCAAAACATTATGCAGAAATTTCAAATAAAAAACTCTCGACATCCAAAGCTCGCGATTTACATTCATAATCCTTAATAAGTTTCTTGGGTAGCTACTTTTTGACGAAATGAGAGATACTTTTTGATAGGATTTTTGAAAAGAGTATAAAATTTCCAGTTCAGTGATGTCTCATAAGTGCACAATAGTATATTATGCACAAGTGCGGTAAACGGCATTTGACTCACGAGTTTATTTGACACGAGCGGAGCGAGTGTTTAATAAATCAGTGCCTAACGTGTTGCATACTATACTTTTTCTACTACCGCTAGTTTTTGGGTACGTTATCTCCGAAAACATCCGATTGCTCCCAAACCCGTGCGCTAAAATCCCGGAAATGTCCGAAGTGGCTCGGATTCGTGTTAAATGAAACTGACGTGGTAAAGCGATGCTTCCCGCACAATAGAGCGGTGCGTAATTAGGTATTTTACAGACGGGAGTACAAAGATTTTATCATACTTTGCAAAATTAGTTCTTAATTATGCCATTATTTATTTGTCACCTTTTTTCCATCCATGGAGGTCCCTTGATGACATGGACGTTAAATAATTCAAAGTGTCAAAATTGTATTTTAATAAGTAGTATGTTTTCCCTCATTAAATTCATAAATGTAACCAACAAATTGTTAAAACCTGTATTCTCTATTGAAATGAAGAAAAATTTGACATTTTAGCGTTGTACTTGCAGTAACAGAGATCCGCCGTCATTACCTATATTTACCGGTATTAGGAGATGTATCCTCATTAACCATGGGGCCTTTGAACAAGCTAGAACCGGATATACCAAAAATGAAAATCACGACAAAAACATTTTACTAGCTATCAACGAAAATCCTACTGCATCTGTCTGAACTATAGAACAGAAAATTGGTATGCCAAAATAAACACTACAGAAAGCGTTAAATGAGACAAGTACCCTAACCGAAGATGGGTTTAGTCGTTTTGGTACACTATTCGTCAGGAACTGACACAAAGAATGAGTTCTTTGAATTTGATCTTCCCGAGATTATAGAAACCCTGAGACAAAGAGTTTTGGACAGATTTAGAAAATTAACGAAAATACTCTTGCTAAGGTTGTACACCAATTGCCAAAAATCTCTTGAGCCAAATTTAAATAATTTTGAAAATCTGTAATTAATAACCAGTACATTACATTACATCATTACTTTCCTTTTCTTTTTA